GCAACGCCTGGCTGACACCCCCCGGGCAACGCCTGGCTGACACCCCCCGGGCAGGCCGCACTCTCTATACAGGTGCAGTACATTGTACAACACTAGTAGTAGACGGGGGGTTGCTGTGTCTAGATCTTTCCTCGATACACGTTTACTGTACACCCTGTACCTAAAACTTTCCTTGACAGTTATCTATAAGAGAAGTAGCATGTCCCCAGGTGTGGCGCAAGATGTCACCGCGGCTGTCGTTGGTGCAGCACGCGGCCGCGCTGGCTGCAGTACGCGCAGTACGCACACATCCTCACTACGAACACTTGGATATCAGGTACAATGATGCTACCACTAATAAGTACACATATTTAACACTTTAAATGCCATAGAAAATAGAAAAATCACTAAAAAACTTTTTACTAATAATGTCAAATCTTGTCCCGAGTCTCTAATGAGTTGTTTATAGATTTAGATGGCATTGTATCTGATCTTTAAAGTCAATCGTTAATGCCTATATTTCTTGTTTCAGATTGAAATGGCCCAATGACATATACTATGGTCGTGAAGTCAAGATAGGTGGCATCATCACTAAAGCTAGCTGCTTAGGTGATGACGTCATCGTACATATAGGTAACGTATAAGACAAAAAAAAAATTTATAGAACTTAACTAAACTCTTTATATACATACTCTAATTAGAATTGGTGAAAAAAAAACTACCAGCTATTGAGTAACTAGTTGTTGCCCGCGACTCTGTCCGGGCGGTATTAAACTTAATTAGCCTATATGTTCTTCCAGACTATGTTCTACATTTATGCCAAATTTTATCAACATCCATATAGCGTTGGAGATACCTTCAAACAAACATCCATCCAAACATTCGCATTTATAATATTAGTAAGATTATTGAATATTCCAGGTGCAGGTGTGAATATATCAAACAGTGTACCTACCACGTGCATTAACGATATTATATCTGAATACAATCGTATCCACGGCACTACCTTAGCCCCTGTTTCCATTGAGAAGTTCCTCGCGCGCTGGTGCTCACACCTCGAGCTGATTCTCCAACATATAGAGACTGATGAGGGTCTGGAGACGTTCTTTCAGCAGTACTACCAGTATTGGTTACATGAGTAAGTTTTAAGCATAAATATTATTACGATTTTTCTTGTTTTTTTTTTATTATGAGTAAATTTTTTAGTTTAAGTGATAAAAAAAAATATTTTTGGATTGTTTACATGAACAGTCTAAAGATTGTAGTGCCTAGGCTTTGTTTTTTTTTTATTTTCATAAGGTGGCAAATGATCGAGCGACCACCTGAATTCGCTGAAATAGCGAAGTGACCGTTGCCCATAGACATACGCAATTGCATATGCGTTGCCTACCTTTAATCGCCGGAGGAGATGATATGTTACAGATATTCAGTTTATTTTATTATTTTTTGCCTTTTTTTTCTTAAATTAATGCTGGTTTCATAGTGTAGTACAAAAATGTCCGGATATATTCGCAACTGTTTTATAGACGCTTTTATAGTATCCTGGTTATTATAAATAAAAAATGTACAGTGGTGAAGAGATAACGGTGAAGAAGGAGGGCAGCGAGAGTCCGGTGTGGGGCATAGTGTCGGGAGTGGACGAGGCGGGCTGGCTGCGCGTGCGCACTGACGGACAGGAACTACGTGTCGCTCCTGACGGGAACACATTCGACATCATGACGGGACTCATCGCACCTAAAATTTAATATATATGGTTATATAAGAAAGAACACTTATCGTGGGTTTCCGAGATCAAAATCAGTGTTTAAAACATATATTGTTATCTCTGTTTTTCAAAAATATGTTTTATGTACAGATTTTAGGGTCAGAAACCCACCGTTAAGTTAGTGGACATACGGGAAGAGTCGAATGAAGAATTTTAAATATACAACTTTATAAAACACCAAAATACAATTAAGTACTGTGTCTTGGTGGAAAAAGGGTTTAATACAACTAATATGAGATAATTTAGTAAAAGGGAGGGTTAAAAAATTATACGCTTTTTTTGGATATCAAAGACGTATAGGGCAATTAAAAATTATTAGAAATTTGCCTTTGAATTGATAATTTCGGAATCGACATACATATGAACAAAGTAAAGTTGTCATATCATGTGAATGGAATGAAGGGTTGAAGGGTCTTAAATAACGCAAAATTTTTTTTTTTTGCAGCAAGTAGGTAATGAAAAAATTTTTTGATAGAAAGCTTTCATCTTCAACAAACGGAAACTCTGATAGAGTAGTCGTTTTTGTGATTGCTAAGTATCAGAATTAGGTTTAAAAATATAAAAAATCGACTGTCTTAATTCATTCAGGGGTGCTTTTTGAAATCCATTAACTGATAAAATACTGATTTAATGTTTATTTACTGTTGGTTTCTGAGACTAAGTACTCTCTATAAACATATCGTCATCCCTTGATAAAACAGAAATAATATTTTTTAAATGGAGATTTTAGTCTCAGAAACCCACAGTTAATAGATTAATAATATATTCTCATTACATAGTTACTAATGGAATTGAAAATCGAATTGATTTTTCCATTATATAAAGTTTTAAGGTATATAAAAATAGTCTTAGGTTTCATCACAATTATTACGTCACGAGCTCATTAAATTTTAATTAAGTAAATAAAATTATAAGTAATTATAAGGGAACATACACATACTACGTGACCTATTTTTTTAGTTTTTTCGACCCCTCCCTCCCCTCGGTGACCACTCGTAGTTCATGCCAAGACCCCCCCCCCACTTTTTACTTTTACGTAGTTATTCATAATTATGATTTTTAATCATTTCACAGGCAAAAATTGAAAAAGAAATAATTTTGCTCATACTCTTTATAGCATAAGACTACATGGATACTTAAAATACTAGTGAATTATGTATCATGAAAAAAAAAACTAACAACTACGTGACTAAAATCTGAGCCATCCCCCGCTCCTGTGACTGACCGTAGTATTTTAAGGACTCCGCCCCCCTCCATCTAAACGGGTCACGTAGTATGGATACGTTCCCTAAACTATGCCATTAATATTCAAAATCACAGCATTCACTTTCTACGCATAAGTGTTACGCTACATTAATGAAACTGTAAAAGCCTTAATATCATAATGACCACGAATTTTACTCCTTGAAGTAAGTTCTTTTTAATAAGAAAGAGATATACGCATTCAATACAAAGTGGTGAGAAAGAGAAAGAACTATCTCCATGTTTATTGGTTGAATTAAAAGGAGGCGTGGTCAATATTGTATAATAATTCAAATCACTGCCAGTTGGTCCTTCGGAGTTAGGATAAAAAGCTAATATTAATATTTACTAGCATTTCAAATTAAATGTTTCTAATTGATATAAAAAATGTGTCTTAGATTTTTTATTAAATTATGTTTTAACTTCATTTTTGCATTTTTTGTTTGCTTCAATCGCATTCTTTTAAGAAGTCTTATTCTAATAATGTTTTTAAATACGAATAGTAATAATATTTTAAGAAATACTTCAGTGTTCAAGTTGAAATATTCCTAATTGTTGTTGTAAAATTATAAATCGTGCTTTTAAAATGTAGTTTTTTGAATACAAAATATTAGCAAGAAAACCATAAAAAATTTAATAGAGCTGTTGTAGATTGTTAAATATATAAAAACGACAACAGTAATGTATCTACGGAGTTCTTTTTTTTTAATTTCAAGTCTAATGTGAAAGCATTTGCTTTAGATTGAACTGTTTTATCGACACTGTCCGTCGGTAAAACAGTTTAGATGGCGCCTTTTGACAGATGTCAGTTTGAAATGAAAAAGTGTGTGAATTAAACAAATCTGATTAGTTTGGCTTTCAAAATAATTATAATAGAAGTTACATTAACTTTTTTATTGAAAGAAATTCAATTCTCTATTTATTATACCAAATAATTTCTTTTTAATTTTGTCTGTAGATACAAGACTGATGTCGTTTAAAATCAGACTAAAATTACATTAAATAATAGACGTTATTGCTAAGTGTTTACAGTTTATATTGCAGTAGCCGAAGTAATCAAATCAATAAGCCTTAAAAAATGTCCATATTAGTCAATGGATTCTGTATACATTTGTATTTATAAAAAAAAAAGTTACTTTTACGCAGTATTTTTGCAGTTATTTTAATAAAATGCAGATATTTTACAGCAATTTTAAATATTTAAGAGATTTTATTAAATAAGCCCATATTTATTTTCATTTTCAAAACGTTTAATTTATATCTCACGATAATTTTTAATACTTTACTAAGTTGGCAGTATGTAGATGTAGAGAGATGAGAGCGAGACAAAAGTATACAAGATCAGATAAGTGCGAGCGAGAAGTAAGACAAAAGACGAGATATTCCTTCTCTGTCGCACTTATAGTGCCTACCTTTTCTTTTGCTACGCTCTTAATAGTTGGTAACTAATTTTGTGACTGTCTTAATTTTTAAACTGCAGCAAATATTTTTATTTCTCATAGTTCAAACGTCCATGACTTTGTTAATAATTGTAAGAAGTATGATGGTTTTCGATTTAAAAGGAAATAATTAAGAAAATTTATTATTTGTGTTGGTACATTATGATAAATTATTATTATTGTTGAATTCCAAAGATTTTTCGTATAACGATATTTGTTAGAAATACTTAAGTATTGTTTATGTGTCTGTTTGAGATAATTTTTTATTAATGCTCATTAGTTTGGTATAAGTCATTAAATAAATTGTCCATAAATATTTATGTAGTAGCCAAATTGGGAATTTCGGTAATACGTAAAAGGGAAATGCCATAATAAAGGTTGTTAATATATTGTTAGAAATTTTGATATTAGATTGAAAGTTAATTAAAGAATGGATTTTGGGTTGGGTTTTTATGGATATATAAAATTATCATAGCACAAAAGTTTGGTACATTTTTTAAAGAGATTGGCTAAATTCTATTAATAAAGCGTAAAATTGAATAAAAAAAATCGGCCTATTTCAAAGTGTATGAAAAATACATGTATGGCTAATCAAATTGTATGGATTGAAATTATTAAATAAATGTTCTGTTGCTGTTAAAATTTTATTTAAATAAAATTATTTCAGGAATCGTTAGTAACATATCTGACTCGAAGGATTATTTTTTTATAATTTTACGATTTTTTTTTAATAATTAATATTTCAAATATTATTCGTACGTATTGAAAATTACTTTTAATTTAATTTGTGCCTACATAATATCGAAGTTACATTCCTATTTTGTTTTTAGTAGTTAATAATTAAAATATTTGATCTTTAAGAAAAATTTTATCTCGCGTTTAAATCTCATATTGTGATATATTCAAGTTTTTAATGTTTTTTAATCTTTAACTCTCTGTTGTTATTAATTAATAGTCTACCTCAGAGTCGTTAAATGGTCCTTAGTGTTCAGTGAAATGCATTAAGTGAACCATTAAATGAATGGGTATGGCAGAAATGTTAAACTTCTCTTGTTACAATCATGTTGTCCTGTAATAAATTATTTCATGGGAATTATGTCTTTTTTTTTAGTGAAGTGTGGTTTTCTACTGTTGTCATTTTATTTCAAACAGAGACAAATCTATTTAATTCAAGTGGTAATAAAATTACAGATAAAAAACAAACACACATATAATTTAAAAAGTTTTTACAATTAATAAGAAAAAAAAACTAAAAACTTTAACCCTTATGTTCATTTTGTATAGTATAACATACATACAACTTTATAAAAATACTAGCGGACCCGACAGACGTTGTCCTGTCTACACGTCTTTAATTTGAATATTATTTAAAATTTGACACTGCGATGGTAGCGCCGTCTGTCGGATCCAATGTAAAACATTCCAAAATCAACAACTACTGATAAATTAAAAATTAATTAAAAAAACATTGTCCAGCGGACAAAATTGTGAATCTAAACCATTCCCAGATCCCCTTGAACACACACAAAAAATTTCATCAAAATCGGTCCAGTCGTTTGAGAGAAGTTCAGTGACATACACACTCACAGAAGAATTATATATATAAAGATCAACGATCACTATAAAATAATTTTTAACTTAGTTTTTTACATTGTTTTTTTTTTGCTTTTCTTCAAAAAAGAAATCTTGCCACAATAAGGGTTAAAATAGTATATTTTAAACACTAATAATTCGCATCTCCTTTGACATTCCTGAAGACAATTATTACATTGGAAAAATCCACTGACCTCAATAAACGGACTGGCTACAAAACGTAGTATTTTGTGCCTATTTGATATACGATTCTGTCGCTGATGTCGGTTTGTAGGTGATGTGGATTCGAAATAGTAATATAGATAAAATAACACGTAACCAGAGGCGCGTTTAAATTCAAACGAAGCAAAGGCTTTCAATTTAAGTAATCGCCTATCAAATTATTCAAACTTTCGTGAGACATTATAATAAACTTAAATAGCTAAACACTCACGTATATTCGTCCGGTGGTGGCATCGACTAGTTTCGAGCCCTTCGGGGGCGGGTTAGTGGGACTCACTCACTTGACTGAGCGACGGGCCGCGTCCGCGAAATAAGAACGGTCCCACTCATCCTGATGAAGGGCCCCCGATGGGTTCGAAACTAGTCGGTACCGACACCGGACGAATATACGTGAGTGTTTAGCAGTTTTTATATAAGTTTACAATTGCCTATCAGTTTATAGAGATCAATGAAATGTATTTTTAATACGAGTCAGCGTTATCAAATCTGAAGGCAGGTGTGGGTATTCCGCGGCTGCCTGTGGAGCGTATTGTGAACAGGGCACCGGCGAGGGGCTCCGCGGCGGCGGTGCCGGCGTCCCTGCCTGTCGTCACAAACAGCTCGTCCATGTCCGGTCCCCCCCAACACAC